ATCATATCTAAGGTGGGATTGTTTAGTAGGAAAATTTATGTTAGCCATTACAATTGACTATGCTATTTATACTTGTATGAAGTAGATTTTGGAAGGTATGAAGACCAAGATGGAACTTTCAGCAAATCTTGAAATAAGAACCCCAGCCATTCTAGGTCGCATAAGATGGTAAAGGACTGATAGTTGTATCCGTGAGGAAGGCTTGCCGTTCTCATTGTTAAAAAATTAAACTATAAACTTATGCGACCTGGGGAGACGAAACTCTTTATCAAGATCTACTGATTGTTTAAAAAGATTAATAAACGATTAAGTAAATAAATATAAATATGAATAAATAAGTATAAATATATAAATTTATTTATTTATTTATGTAAAGGAAAGCGAAAACCAACCTCGAGCAGATTCGCATTGTCCGCCCGGACAAGCTTGGCATTCGCCGGTCTTTGGATGGCGGACATAACCAACGGTGCAGAAAGGAAGGCAGGCGCCTTGGTAAATCACGTTCAGACTTGTCTGAGGACAAGGAACGCCGCTCCCGATGGATACGCTGCCCCAAATACTATCGCCAACATGATCTTCTAGGGTCCCAGCCGAAGAGCTAGAAAGACCGCCTCCGTCTACATTCACTCCGGTCGTGGAGACGGTATCTGAGAGAGCGGAAGCTTCTTTTATTCTTGGTTTATTCCACTTCTGGCCATTTTGGAGAGCTGTCAGAGGAGCAGAGTAGGTGACGCTACCAGACTGATTGCCAAGACTGTCAGCAACATCAAAGACATGGTTTGAGATAAAAGTGTTAGCCAACTCGGTGGAGCCAGAACTGCTCTCACCACTGTTGCTGCGGGGTAAATCAACTTCGCGACGTGATTGTCCAAAGCAGGAAGGATTCAACTGGACAACATCAGGCCCGAAAAGGCATTCTTCGCGTGTGATGCAGCGCCGATCCATATACTAAGGAGAATGATGTAAATATAAACTAAATTCCTTCGTTTTTGATTAGGTTTACAAGACTCCCCTATGCAGTCGATTGTTATAACAAATACAACTTTGCCATAGAAATACCTGGCCCTTTATCAAACTCGCATGAAGGAGCCAGTGACGGTCTGGCGCGGTAATTAATGTGTCGAGAATGCACGCCGCACTACCCGCTGGGATGTCTATAGTACTCAGGCAAGATCGAGGCTGTAGACCCCCTGGATGAGAAGACCTTTTAGAAATCAAGGCTATTCGAGATTCAATGGAAATGTGAGGCCTACTCCTATGATTGTGGGAAAAGTTAATTACCAGTCCTACGTCCTACTTTCAGTCCCTTATTACTTTATGCGATCTATAATTACTAGATATATGGATAGTCTCTAAAACCTAGTTTATCTTAATAAAGCTGTGAAGCTGTCTACAGTATGAATACATCTTATATAGTCGAAGAATCTCTTTGCTGTTATAGGTTCGGCTAAGCCTCACTTTATCAACACAGACGTATTTATACAAATACCTCAAAGAAGGTTCTTTGCACTGCGTCATTCGCCATAGCATCTAAATGACTTTTAACCATCAGGTCGGTGACTGGCCAAAACGTTCAGTTGCGGTCGGTATTTTTAAAAAAGAGAGAAATGCTTAGACACAAGCACCAGCTCATTAAGATGATAAATGGGGCCAATTATATTGACAAAATAATACCAAATTAAAGACAT